ATGTCGAAAATGACGTATAGCACAGTACATAGCTAGAAGTTCCCTTCCGAATGTGCTGTACTTCGTTTCAACTACTTGAAGGCGCCTCGAGAAAAAGGCGAGTGGTTGCCATTCGTTGTTAACTAGTTGTTGCAGAACTGCGCCGATTGCAGTGTCTGATGCATCAACCGAGATAATCAACGGTGCCGTTGGATCCTGATACATAAGAAGGGTGGCATCTGCAATAGCTTTCTTTACCTGAGTAAAAGCATGTCGAGCAGACGTGTCGAGTTCGATAGCCTTGTTGTTCCCTCGAAGGAGATCGGTTAATGGCTGAATTAGCGAAGCACAATTAGGAATAAAACGTCGGTAATAACTTACCAAGCCGTTAAAAGTGCGAAGGCATTTTACTGTCTTTGGCTCCGGAAAGTTCAGTATTGCTTCGACTTTGGTAGCCAGTGGGCGAATACCCTGGCAGTCAATAGTGTGACCCAGAAAATCGAGTGAGCCAACGCCTATTTGACATTTCTGTATATTGATGGTAACACCATGTTGGCGTAACCTTTCAAATGCCAAGTCCAAGTGTCTAAGGTGAGTTTCCTTATCTGGACTGGCAATGAGGCAGTCGTCTAAGTATGCGTATACAAAGTCGAGAACGCGAAATACTTCATTGATGAAGCGTTGGAATGTTTGGGCCGCATTCCGGAGGCCGAATGGCATACGTAGGAATTCAAAAAGTCCGAAAGGCGTGATGATAGCCGTTTTCGGAATATCTTCCGTTGCCATGGGAATTTGGTTATATGCTTTAACCAAGTCGATTTTGGAGAATATAGATGCTCCAGATAACGTTGCCGTCAAGTCGTGTATGTGAGGCAAAGGGTAGCAATCAGGAGTTGTTTTGGCGTTCACTCGCCGGTAATCACCAGTGGGTCGCCAATCGTTGCTATCCTTTTTCGGTACCATATGCAACGGGGATGCCCATGGACTATTCGATGGTCGAATGATGCCAAGGGTGAGCATATGATCGAATTCGTTTCTGGCAATTCTCAGTTTATCAGGGGCCAGTCGTCGTGCTTTAGATGTCACGGGCTGTCCTGAGGTTATGATGTGGTGCATAACATTGCTGGTTATGCACGGGAGATCGTTAGATGGGCAATTCAGTTCCGGATATTTATCAACAATCGGTTGAAAAGTTGGATCGAGGATTGCTTTCATCTTAACGATTGACAAGCTGGGGCCTACGTAAGTCATGCCTTTGATAGACAAACTAGTGGTGTTGTCAATTAATCGTTTACGGCGGACGTCTACGAGCAAATCATGATGATTAAGTAGGTCCGTGCCGATGATGGGCATTGTGACGTCAGCGATCAGAAAAATCCACCGAATAGGTTTGCGTAAACCTACGTTCAGATAGACGTATTTCCGACCATAGGTTGCAATTGGTTTTCCATTTGCAGCCTGTAGGTTGAGGTTAGGATCCTTCTGTCGATCTGCTGCTGTAGCAGGAAGGACGCTGACTTCGGCGCCTGTGTCGACTAGATATCTAGTCTGGCTCATTACATCATGGATGTAAAGTAAGCGGCTAGTGCCACCGGCGACGGTTGCCGCTAACGCGTGCCGGCGGGATAGTTTCCCACAGACTTGGAGGCTTTGCCGAAATCACAAGGTTTTCGACAACATTTCGCTTCCTTGCCATAGGTGTTGTGATACCAACAACAGTCAGGATTTTTGAGAGAGCGTGTGTTGGACTTAGATCGTCCACGTGCGCTTTGCCGTTGAGGGGATTTAGAACGACGATAGGAGGAATTGCTAGGCTTGTTTGACCTAAACATCTGCTGGACGGAGTTGATTAACTCTATCATTGCAGAATCCTTCTTCGAAGTCTGTTCGGTAACAGAGTATACTTCGGTAACTGGCCGTTTCGTTATCTCTAGAATTCTATCTGCAGAGACAGCTAAGTCCTCTATGAGAACACTTTGAAATGTCACAAGTACAGTCTGAACTGACTGTGGCAGTTTGGATAAAAATAGTTCTCTAAACAGTCCTTCATCGAACTGACTTTGGCCAATGATCTCTTTCATTCTTGCCAGCATGCTCACAGCTGACTGATCCCCTAACTCGATGTTACGAAATAACTCATCCAGACGTTGTCGATCTGTGAGAACGTTTCTCTTAAGGATGGATTCTTTGAGCAACTCGTACGAGTTACTTACCGACATCTGCAGAGTTACGCACCTGCTGAATTCCCGCGGTAGGGCGTGAATAACTGCAAGGAACTGTGAACGTTGATCGGTTATGCCATGTTCACAAAAATCGGACTCAGCAATCTGAAACCACGTTTCAGCATTATCTGGCCAAAATGGTACTAGCTGAATTGTTTTGGCGGTTGAGCGAATCTGAATAACCTTGGGGCTAGGATAACTCATGACGAAAAGTATGCCGATAACAATATAGTACAAGAATAAACACAAAAATAAACGAACTCACCGGGTTTATCTGCGTGTGAATTGAAGATGTAGTTCGTGGTTGGGCTCACCAGTTTAGATGATTGATGGTATCGATGTTCGCGAGTTGTACAGATTATACTAACGCAAGATCTTATACCAACAACCACTATAGTGTTCGTTCTTCGAGTACCAAATGGTAAAGCAAAAGACCAGATTTTGTCGTCCAAATACGATATATATTTTGGGACCAAATCGCGGGTAGGAATGAATGCTTAGCTAGCTAGTAATCGTGCACGCACGTGACACGACGGAGCACCAAATGGCGGGGATGCTTGACCGTAAGCCTTCAGCTAAACAAGTCGACTTAAACAGTGATGGTCAGCATCCAATGTTGAGTGATGATTGCTGTGGTTAATAATTTTGGGGAATTATTTACCGCTACAAATGCAAAGAACCAATCTCTACCTTCTATTGTAAAGACTGCACAATCCTGCGCTATCGTGAGACATCCAAACGCAGGGGAAGGAAGATTATTCTTCAATATTTTAGCAGTTCTACTAAACAACAATGATAATAACATCAAAACTGAAATTTACCTCAACAGTGTTGTAAGGCAACTGGATATACAGGGAATGCAGGTTTCTAAATACAAAACAAGAATTGTAAGACAATGTTATTTAACAAAAGTTCAACTGAGCAGAATGAAACTAAAATTGAACGAGAGTTGGGTTAATAACGGCGACAACAAGGGGCTGAAGTTTAACAGGGAGTGAGGGAAGAAAATAATACAATTAAGGAACAAAACACAAAAATTAAGTATCCAGTATTAAGACAGATTAGGTCCAGTGTAGATTTGGTGATTCAACAAGACTTCTTTTGTATTCAGAGTGCAAGATTTAACATGTGAATAACCATAGCTTCTGCGGTTTGAAGCCATTGGCTAGCGGTTGCGCTATATCGTGAATTGGCAGAAGTTAGAATTAATGGGCCATTGGATAAGATCCCAGTGGCTCGCCTTGTAACCAGAAGGTCGTGGGTTCGAACCCTTTATGCTGGGTGCATACTGATAAAGAGTCCTAAATTAGGGTGATGAAACAGCTGTCCAGTACTCCTAGGAAACCAACACACTCTAGTAAACACTTAGACTAAACTTTAACTCATCCCATCCAGAATCCGTAAAGGAAGATAGGTCTAGTTAAATGTCTGTGTAACTGGGTCAGGAGCCTAATTAGTAAACCAGAAGATTTAAATGATGAAATCAAAAAAATAAAGGAGATTTTACTAGTGAATAACACACTACCCACCAGAATTTATTCAGAAATATATAAAAGACCATAGAAAAAGAATAAGATTAGCAACGGAAATGACGAAAATCACAAAAATCACATAGAATTCAAAGCTTCTGTAGTACAGCCGTATGAAGAAGGAACGTTACAGGTCTTACGTAAGATTCTGAATGAAGCTGGAATTAGGTTGGCACTTGAACCAACGAATCAACCAATCAACTCTCAGAGATAAACTTTGTCGGCTTAAGGACTCAATAGATCCAATTAGGAAGAATAATATAATATAACTTACGAAATACCATGTAATGACTGTTAGTGCGGTCAATTACATAGGTCAACCAAGCTGGTAGATCTAGGTCAATTCGATTATCGGAACATAAAAATTGACCTGAGCCTAGAATGCCTGACCCTGCTAAGTAAGTTAAATAACCTAGAAAAAACAGAGCTCAGCCATTGCAATGCATTGCATTCACTTGCAATGTAATCACAAAATAGGATGGGACAGGGTGAGAGTATTAAAAAGGTAATCTAGTTAGGTGGTGAGAGAGGTTAATCACTGGGTGGGTCCTTGTTTATCAACTCAACACCGAACACTTGCAATCGGAATGACAAAGAGCCAATACCAGAGGTATGGAAAGTGGCAAACAAACAACAAGGAGAATTTAGAGAGAGCGAGGAGGAGAAGGAGGAGTAGGGAAAATATATAAGACAAACTATGAAACCGTATGACTAAACTGTTGGGATTATGACTGACGATGATTTCTGCTCGAAACCTTGTCATCCAGTTATTCATACTATATCATCACTGAGTGATATTTGAAATAAACTTATCTAATATTGGGGAATTACATTCTACCACACCGCCCAAGTTCTATACTTACTTTGACTCTGCAGTTAACTCTATTTATTTCCCAATTTTGAACATTTCCTTGATGATTTCTGCAAAGTTTCTCAGTGCAAGTGAGATAAAGGAATCTCTTATAAACTGCAGCCTGTATTCATGAAGTCAAATGGATGAGGTAATGTCGAAACCACGGAAAGTGTGTGACTCTAGTTCATTAGATGTCTGAGTACATCCATTCTCGATGTGTCTCACACTCACAGTCACGTGATCATCAAAATATAACAGTGGATATTGACTGCACAACTCTTTTAAATTGCCATTCCCTACCCTTTTATTATTGTTGGAATCAGCCAATCAGATTACGCAGGTAAACAAACACACGCGCGCACATTTAAACTTAAAGGTGCGATTAAGGCGAACTTGTTATTATAGCTCTCATTATATATCTGCTTGGACTGTCAGCATGATTCAGTGCATATTGTTAACGCTTATATGCTTGATAATTCCTCATTCTCAAGCTTTGATACCCATCCCAAAGAATTATAGTCCAGAAGAGAAATATTGTACAATTTTTAAGTCTGTACCTATTGTGGATAATTATCCGTCATGTATAACATTGAAAGAAGCTGTTAAACGATTCCGGGAACGACTTGTTCATGAAGAATTTCCATCGTCAACAGCACCAGTTGATAAATGTCTTATACTTCCGATATTGCTGGTAATAACTTCAGGCTGTGATGAAAGTAATGAAGTGCTACGGCCATCTGATTCAGCCAACGAATCATGTAAGTGATTGCCTTTATTACACGCACATAAAATATGATGGTATGAAAGATTCCATTTCATTTCAGCAACAAAAGATGGATGAGGATATTTTCTATGTTGCAAATCTGATGATCAGTGCTCCTGAAGTCTGGGGAATTATACGTGGGTTAGAAACAGTGTTGCAACATATATACAAAGATGAATGGGAAGGGGTAAGAAGAGAAGACATTGAAATATTGTTACACATTGTTTATTTCAAAACTAGAGAAATATGCGAATATTCACATTGGATGATTCACCTCGATTCTCACATCGTGGACTCATGCTAGACACATCGAAACACTTCCTCACCATCGGAGAAATCCAAAAGTTCATTGTAAGTCATCATTCACCTCCCTCCCTTGTCCAGGGAGATGTGAAACACTAACACACTCACACACACTCACACTTGCACATTTTAGGATGCAATGGCCATGGTGAAAATGAATGTTCTACACTGGCACATCACAGACACTGAATCATTCCCATTCGTCTCCTCCATGTATCCTGAACTGTCAAACAAGGTGAGTGAGATTGATGAATTATTCTCTTTCTAACTTGAATCACACCACCACAACTGAAGGGTGCATATCATCCTGAGGCCTATGTGTATCAGCGTAATGAGATAGTTGATCTACTGGAGTATGGGCGTGTTCGTGGAATCCGAATAATTCCGGAGTTCGATACACCAGGTGAGCATGATATTCTCACAGTTGTATGTATTGAGATATTCAACTAGTTTGAAATTGTCTCTGTGTTGGCACAGAGTAGTGAACACCCTGATATTTGTCAATCGTGAATAAGTAGACATTACTGTGGTGGATGATTTCGCCCACCCCAGTGATTTACAGACATTGAAGTTTTCAGGACCCGTATTAAAACAATGAACGAACTATGCAAACGGAAGACAAGGATGGTCGGAATTCGGACAACCATTCGGCGTATTTGAAGGTCTTTGAATATTTCCATTGTTGGGAATCATTTGTAGCATATTTGGAATTATCGAATCAATGACTCTAGGAATTAGCAGTACTCAAACAAAGCTGAACTGTTTTTGTCTGGCTGAGAATGACCTCCAGCTGAGAAAAGAGTATTGCGTCTACCTGCTGGATGTCTGATGTAACTGATCATTCATAGCTCTACTGGAGCATACAAAATGACTACACGCCAATCACATAATGAATTCAGAAGGGTGATTCGTATGTACGAACAATTTTGACAAATTTTCATTTGTATTCAGACGACTCCATAAAATGTCACTGACCTGGATTACCGAAATATAACCACCAACCTGATAACTACTATTCACACTGAATCTACTCACCACTGATCGGTTCCTCTGAGAAATCAACGCAAAACACTGGTTTGAATATGTGTGGAAATGTGAGGAAAATCATCACGATTCCAGACAGATTCAATGTCATCACCATGTAGCGAGAGTCACAGACATTCACTGCACAGGTGATATACACCACACACCCATCATCAGTGAGATCAAGCAATGCCTCTCAAACAATATACTGACTATGCACACCACATATTCGTCATTATTCATAAGTAGACATAACAGAACGCATCACTCAAGATTACACCACAGTATATCCCAATATCCCAATACTCAGTCACATTCCATACACAGTCATCTCTCCCTCTCTCTCTATCATCTCACAGCACATACACGGTCATGGGGAAATGGCTATCCCGATGTACTCACTCCTTGTCATACTCAAGACGACGAAGGAAATCAAATACTCGGTCCTGTCAATCCAACCAATCTCACCTTCATTCAGAACTTGTACCACGAAATTCGCCGTGTGTTTTCTGCTGACAACCACGTTCATTTAGGCGGAAATGATGTGGATTTCACATGCTGGTGAGTTCTCGCTATTGTTATTATCATCCTGCACCGCTTGATTGATTGATTGATTGGTTGATTCAATCAATGCATTTCTCCCATGATTCTCACAATGTGCTCAATGACAAGCGCACCATACAAGTGCATGTAGTATGGATGAGTGCAGTGTGTGCAGTGTGATCAGGTGAATAAGAGAAAGATGCATTGTATATGCAATTCAGTGTGATGGTATATAGGTGTATATATACACTGGAGGGTAGGAATGTTTCTACGAATCGAATATGCGCCAAAGTAAGCGGTCAAGCGAGGTGAGCACATGAGACAAGCAAAGTGAAGTGGTGTGATTTGATTCCACTGGTTCCATTCAACATAAATCTGCATATTCGTCTGTCCCATCGAAATAAAAAATTACCTCCTCATTCCATTCTCGTTTTACAGGCAGTCAAATCCTGACATCACAAAATTCATGCAGGAGCAAGGATTCAACAATGACTATACAAAGTTGATGAACTACTACATGACACAACTTGTAGAAATTGTCAGGGCCGCATCGTTGGGATCTCCAGTGGTTCCGATTGTTTGGCAGGATGTATATCAGGATGGATTTCGTGTAAGTCAACACTCATAGGGGATTATATAATAATTAGCTTGTATACATTCCCTAAGTCGGTTGAGTCATGAGCTGGACTAATTCTCTCACTCTGACCGATATCAGCAATATAATGACAACAGCGAATAAGTCGGTTAGCTGTGGTCGTGTCTCTATTCTCACCTACACACTTAGTCATCTACACTGATACTCCATCACAGAGTATTCGAATTCTCAGTTGAGTGACTAGTCGTGACAGCATTATATAGATACACACATCTCGATCAACTGTCAATACGCTCAAACAGGGAGATGTCGTCTCCCAACAGTCTCACTAATCAAATCTCGAGCAAATGACAAATCGCTTGATGAAAACACATAATAAGCATGCACGTGGGTAGAGTGTAATCAAACAAGAGAATAAAATAATCAGGCCTAATACACAATGATTGATGAAGTATGATGATTTGTTCAACCGATTTGTTTCGAGAAAAGTCAAGTGCTGATTGATAATCACCAAATGAGAAGTATTCATTAGACTGAACTTACTCATATATTTCGCTAACCATATGATAGACATAACTTACAAACAAAGGTGACTGCAAAATACTAATAATGACTTAGTATTACATTGCAGGAGAAGGCATACATACTCGTCCACTGCATGACAGGACGCCAGTGAATGTTCTTCAGTGTTCCACAAGAAAACCCAAACGCACACAAACACAAATTTACACCATCCATCCATCCATCAATCGGAATGTCAATCACTGCTCCATGTTTCACTCAAGTTATGTATTGCAGTGTGATGTCCACTCATCTACTAATTAGTGACTGACTCAATCAATCTCCTCTCTCCTCATCAACACACTGAACATGTGACTGACTGACTGACTAACTGACTGATGAATTCTTCGCCTTTTCTGTGTTTAGAGTGACAAGGATATGATTTTTCAAGTATACAAATCTGATGAATGGAAGAAGAGTGTTGAGGAGATCACAAGAGCGGGATTCAAAGTTCTCATATCGTCGTGTTGGAATTTCAGTGATGTGAGTCTCGGAGACGACTGGCGAGCGTTCTACGAGTGTGATCCCTTGGATTTCGAAGGTAACTCCGAGTATTTTCAAACTTGACGTTTCCAATGATATCAATGCTAACCAATGCACACAGGGAAATCTTTGTCGAATCGTTGTCATTATTTGCATAAGCGTCTCAAATATCCAGTCCTCATTGTAGATGTTACATCTACACATTCCATCCACTTCGTATAATTCATCATCCAGTTTCATTCAGCTCAGATCAGCTGAGTGAGAACTAGGTCGATTAGAATGTTCACTGTTCACTTGAGGTGCATCTTGTAGAATACTGTCAAACTACTACTCCAAATTAGATAACACAGCAACACAACACGAGAAAGAGATAGACATTTCTCAGTTGCACATGTCAGTAAGACAACCGACAAGTTCACTGACGTATATCAAACAATGAATATCCATGCATCATTGAGAATCGCACATAATGATAGTAGTAATCTATGTGAGCTGTGTGTACTAATTAGCCGTAAACGAAATTAGGCGACATCATTACAATCGACTGACAGTCCTCTCACTCATCTACACTCTCATTCATCAGTTCTAACCAAAACTGGTGGCCGAAACAGAATGACGATTCTCCATCTGAGACGAATTTCTACATGGATATCCACTCCGTTCTTTTAGTGTAGAACACACAACAGTCATGAAGACTAACTAACATGCGATAATCAGATGAGTTCATTTCATCAGATTTACACTGTTAATTGATTTCTGTGTGTATCGAATATTTCAGGAAGTCCAACGGAACTGGCACTGGTCATTGGAGGAGAAGGTGTGATTCCAGGTGACTACGTGGATGACTCAAATCTCATGTTGGTGTCATGGTAAGTGATGATGGTTTTTCTTCGTATTCGATTCATCATGTTTAAGCTTCATCACTCATATGCCCACAGGTGTGAGACACATCGTCTTCGAATTCGTTGAGAGAATTAGTATGAATTAGTATGAGGTTATTGACACCACTGGACAATATCAGCCTCTGCAATCAATCACATACTCGCCTCACTCACACAACATAAGCTTCCGAAGACCCACAGTCATCATTTCACGCATAAAAGCATTCATGTCGAATTGATGAAGGCTGAGTTTGCACATTATCAGAAGACAAATGAGCATGCAGCAATGACTTGCATCCACAAACACAGCTATGAAGTTGAGGTGAAATATTTATCTCTTTGAACAGCGAGTGATATCCAGGAAGATGTTCAAGATGTTTACGCACACTTCAAAACACTTCAACGCATAAGGTGCCTGTCGGTACATCAGATATATTTCCTCTGAGACATCAATACATCATAACTCCACTTTCTATAATTCCAGTCAATATATCACCAATAGTGTATGCGTACATCTCACAATTCATCTCATATCTTTTCATACATTCTCCAACACAGGCCTCAAGCTGCTGCAATAGCTGAACAACTCTGGTCTCAAGAGAGAACGAGCACAGACGAATTCGGTGACCGCCTGAGTGAACTTCGTTGTCGAATGAGAAGGTGAGTTTCACAACACCACACCACACCAAACCACACCGAACTGCACTGCACTGTACTGTACTGCTATTTACCCTCATTTCTTACTGTTCCACTTTGTCTGAGTAACGTAGTGTGATGTGAAGCGACATCACTTTTAACGGACAAGCCTAACAATGTAATTTGTTCTTCAAACTCACATCAAGAAGATCACAAGATATGTTGGAATAAGTGAGGAATACTTCAGAGTGACAAGCGGACCAATGCGCGAACTGACTCGTGTTTGTGCGTGAGGCACCAGTATTAGTTGGTATGTGTACTGACAGTTTGGAGAATAATTTAAATACGATGACCAGCCAGAGAATTCGAAGAGAAGAGAAGATGAGAAGGAAGGGTTGTGTGTGTGAATGAGTGAGTGATTGAGTGTCAGAGTGACTGTTGAATTTGGATGTAGGAAAACAGGCTGTGATGCTTCCAAACTGTAAATTAACTGAAATTCACTGCAAAATGTCACATCAGTCTACACTGATTTCCCCACTGATTCCATACCCATGTGTCTGTGAATCCTCTACACCAATTCGACTTCATTTTATCACAATTCTCTTCTTCTCTTCTTCTCCTTGTCAACAGACTAAATTGGGATGTTCAACCAGTGAATGGACCAGGATTCTGCTCAATTTGATTCACCACACACCGAAGCGTCTTCTTCCACTTCGCACACACCACAGACACACACAGACAGTACTTTCCATGAGAGTTCAATAGACAGAATGACGCTTGATATGTGCAGCCAGTGTGTGTGTGTGTGTCAGAGTGTCGACAAACAATCAATTATTCCACTCTCTCTCTCCTTCCATTTTCCATCCTCTTCGACAGCTTCACACTAATTTTCACAAATATACACTCAAATGAATCGAATGACTTCTACCTTCCGTTGACTTCAGTCTGAGTGTTGCAATCCACGAGGCTGGTCAGTCAATGTAGTCAGTCATCGTAGTGCTGGTGATAACGATGACGGTGTCGGTGTCGGTGTCGGTGTCGGAATGTTGAAATGTGTCTAGAACAACACATGTCAGCGAACAATACTGATTTCAATTAGATCTTATCAGTCATTCTCCTTATATACAAGTGAATATTTAATATCAACACCAATAATGGTGATTTGTCAGTAGAGTGATGGGGCTGTCAATATGAAGTGTACAACAATCCTTTATGATGAAAGCAACAATAATTGTATCATCTACAAGTATGAAGTAATAAGGAGAGTGAAAAACGGCATGGTTTTTTGTAACAAACAAAGGCTAAGACAGACAAGGTAGATAATTGCTAAGGAAACAAATAATAATAATAATCGGATTAAGGGAAGTCAGAAAACAAAACTGCGTTTCATTGAAGACGCCATTAGGCTAAGGAAAGAGAGGGACTGAACTATGTGAAGGTTGATGGTTGTCTGATCAGTTGGTTGTGTCTTCACACGCCAAGGGAAGGCTGACAGCTGTACTCACGCCTTTTGAATGTGTAGTGTAGGTTTAATAGTTCGAATGCCTATCGCTCCAGTTATTTGCAATAGTGGAATACGAAGGTCATTGATAAGACTTAATCGGATATGATGGAGCACATGAATTCCTTCGATTTGTCCACTGAGTCTTCTCTATCTTATCGATGCGAAAACAGAGCTTCAGATGACTTTACCTGTCCTTTAACAAACCACAATGAGAGATGTTCAGTAACACATGGGCTAACCTATCTCACAGAACGCCCGACATAAGTACCTACCTAGGAGCGGTTGAACTGGAAAATACACATCGACTAATCAAACTAGCTTTCTATGTTTGAGTCGCATTCATTCGCCGACTATAACATGACAAACACTGGTTTAGTGAGGAAACGTTTCTCCACATATTTGGATGTAACTGTGTTTCTTCAGCTGCATAGTTTATTTTCGAAATTTTCATTGCCCTACTAGACAACATCTTCAGTGCCTGCTTCAAATTGAAGTAAGCTTTTGAAATTCCCCACGAGTTCATCAGTCGTCGCTCACGGTAACCTCGATCTTAATTGGTCGCTTTTGTGTATTTGGTCTCAAAGAGCCAAGCCGTATCACATCACTCCTGCCTTGAGGAGAATGGAAGAAATTTATCTCACTGCCGTTTTGAAAAACAATTCGATATTCATGAAACTTAGTCAAAAGACATCCATCCTCTTACCAACCAACCAAATCAAAAGTGTCCGGTGAAAACACGAAGAAACTCGTCCCATCATATATGGGAAACATCTCCGAAATCACTGAAAGACTATTCAAACATTTTGGAACTGATTTTGACCACAAATCAACAAAATCACTTCAATGGGTCAGGCAACAGACACAACAGCCAATGAACTAAGAAATAACATAGTCTACAAGATAAATTTCTACGACTGCAATATAGCACATTTGTCAAAATGGACGCCCCCTTTATCTTTTCATCCATGAACATAAACTGGCAGTCAAAAGACATTATATTCACTCTCTTATATCACTGCATACAGACGACCACGGATACCAGTTCGGTTAAGATGATTGATGTACAAATCCCAGACAGAGGAAACACCAAAAATGCTAGAGAATTTCTCGAAGCCTGGTATGCAGGTGAATCTTCAATCAACAGACACATTTAGGCAGACAAGATTTACCAACCGATAAGAAGGAAATCTCACACACAAAGTGTCAACGTCCAAGTCAAGGAAACAATCAGTTCCAATACAAGTGGCCTAGAGGGTGTGAAAATACACAAAACCACCAATCACGTTCAAGGTCAGGTCACCAGGAGAGATGACTAATAAACTCGTGGAGAAATCTGAACGCTCACTTCAGATTGGAGTATGCGTTGAGGAGGTTTTCTAGTAAGATCATGAACACTTCTCAACTAAATCATGCAGCTCAAGATAACAACTCCACCAAAATGATTCACCTGACCTCGGGTGCTACATATACATATATATGTGTCTCCAGAATTACCACGAACAGTTCGCACAGAACTGTCAGTGGACACCACTGCTCCAACAGAAACAGAAATTTGAATACAGTGAATCTACTGAATTCCAGAAATGCAGTAGGACCAGACGGAATTTCTCCTCGAAGCACTGAAAACGGACGCAGAGACTGCGCTAGATATACTCACGCCAATAGTGAAAGGTGCCTTCCGACTGGAAGAACGCCTGGCTATATTGTCGAGCTATCAAATAAGGGCAACTTACGCTTTTGTGAGAACTAGCGTGGAATAATGCTCTGCTGAATGTGATCGAATATAAGCAGGCGTTACTGAAGGTGTAGCGTTCATTAGCTAACTGACATACACTGTAATAATCTCACTTGGCAGTTGTAGTGTTATTCCATATACCAGCTCTGTAGTAATACACCTAACATCAGCATTTAATGTATTACGAATACCTAAGAGGACCACAGACAGTGACTCAGTTCGACGTGGCGTGTATGTGGCTGATTACACAGCATTTAGCTATCAGTTTAGGCGTTGTCCTGAAGTTGAGGTGTGATGCATAACCTAGTTAGTTATGAATGGTGACTCGTTTGTTTGAAAATTAAGTTCTGGTCAGTTTTCAACGTCTGACAGAAAAGTTGCACTGGTCATGGCTTTCTTCTTAAACAGATGCAAGCTTTGATCAACGTAAGTGGTTAGTTTAATAAACAGTCTCGTGGTACCGTCTATCGGTTGTGGTTAGTTGACATCTTTGAATAGGTCGTGATGATTAAGTAGGTTCATGTCTATGAAAGCCACTGAGACGTCAGCAGTAAGGAATATCCAGTGATTAGGTTTCGGCAAACCTATGTTTGGAAAACCACAGCTTCTGCTGAAGGCTGCAATAGGCTTTGAGTTCGCAACCTGCAAGTTAAAGATAGTCGATTTCTAGCGATCTTTCTCTGTGACAGGAAGAACACTGAGATCCCGACCAGTGCCTGTGAGTTAACAAGTTTTAATAATCAAAACAAATGGCCACCTCCAATTCAGCTACCCAGTTACCTACAGTAATTTTGACACTTTTGTCAATGAAATAAACGAAGGAGCCATTTACAAATGAACCCGCTATTTGGATAAAATCATTCAATATTCAAGGTCCCCAAGTAGGTTGGAAGATAGAAAATGAGCAAATAACTGGAGCGATTGGCATTCGAACTATTAAACCTACACTACACATTCAAAAGGCGTGAGTACAGCTGTCAGCCTTCCCTTGGCGTGTGAAGACACAACCAACTGATCAGACAACCACCAACCTTCACATAGTCCAGTCCCTCTCTTTCCTTAGCCTAATGGCGTCTTCAATGAAACGCAGTTTTTTTTCTGACTTCCCTTAATCCGATTATTATGATTATTATTTGTTTCCTTAGCAATTATCTACCTTGTCTGTCTTAGCATTTGTTTGTTAAAAAACCATGATGCCGTTTTTCACTCTCCTTATTACTTCATACTTGTAGATGATACAATTATTGTTGCTTTTATCATAAAGGATTGTTGTACACTTCATATTGACAGCCCCATCACTCTACTGACAAATCACCATTATTGGTGTTGATATTAAATATTCACTTGTATATATAGGGAGAATGACTGATAAGATCTAATTGAAATCAGTATTGTTCGCTGACATGTGTTGTTCTCGAGACATTTCAACATTCCGACACCGACACCGACACCGTCATCGTTATCACCAGCACTACGATGACCACAATGACTGACCAGCCTCGTGGATTGCAACACTCAGACTGAAGTCAGCGGAAGGTAGAAGTCATTCGATTCATTTGAGTGTATATTTGTGACAATTAGTGTGAAGCTGTCGAAGAGGTTGGAAAATGGAAGGATAGGGAGAGAGTGGAATAATTGGATGTGTCGACACTCTGACACAGACACACATACTGGCTGCACATATCAAGCGTCATTCTGTCTATTGAACTCTCATGGAAAGTACTGTCTGTGTGTGTGTGTGCGAATTGGAAGAAGACGCTTCGGTGTATGGTGAATCAAACTGAGCAGAATTCTGGTCCATTCACTGGTTGAACATCCCAATTTAGTCTGTCGACAAGAAGAGGAAGAAGAAGAGAATTGTGATAAAATGAAGTCGAATTGGTATAGAGGATTCACAGACACGCAAATGGGTATGGAATCAGTGGGGAAATGAGTGTAGACTGATGTGACATTTTGCAGTGAATTTCAGTTAATTTACAGTTTGGAGGCATCACAGCTGGTTTTCCTACATCCGAATTCAACAGTCACTCTGACACTCAATCACTCACTCACACACACACAACCCTTCCATCTCATCTTCTCTTCTCTTCTGTTCTCTTCGAATTCTCTGGCTGGTCATCGTATTTAAATTATTCTCCAAACTGTCAGTACACATACCAACTAATACTGGTGCCTCACGCACAAACACGAGTCAGTTCGCGCATTGGTCCGCTTGTCACTCTGAAGTATTCCTCACTTATTCCAACATGTCTTGTGATCTTCTTGATGTGAGTTTGAAGAACAAATTACATTGTTAGGCTTGTCCGTTGAAAGTGATGTCGCTTCACATCACACTACGTCACTCAGACAAAGTGGAATAGTAAGAAATGAGTACAGTGCAGTACAGTACAGTTTGGTGTGGTGTGGTGAAACTCACCTTCTCATTCGACAACGAAGTTCACTCAGCCGGTCACCGAATTCGTCTGTGCTCGTCCTCTCTTGAGACCAGAGTTGTTCAGCTATTGCAGCCGCGTGAGGCCTGTGTTGGAGAATGTATGAAAAGATATGAGATGAATTGAGAGATGTACGCATACACTATTGGTGATGTATTGACCGGAATAAAGGAGATGGAGTTATGATGTATCGATGTCTCAGAGGAAATATATCTGATGTAGCGACAGGCACCTTATGCGTTGATGTGTTTTGAAACTGCGTTAACATCTTGAACATCTTCCTGGATATCACTCGCTGTTCAAAGAGATAAATATTTCACGTCAACTTCATAGCTGTGTTTGTGTATGCAAGTGATTGTTGCATGCTCATTTGTCTTCTGAAAATGTGCAAACTCAGCCGTCATCAATTCGACATGAATGCTTTTATGCGTAAAATGATGACTGTGGGTCTTCGGAAGCTTATGTTGTGTGAGTGAGGCGAGTATGTGATTGATTGCAGAGGCTGATATTGTTCAGTGGTGTCAATAACCTCATACTAATTCATACTTATTCTCTCAACGATTTCAGAGAGGATGTGTCTCCCGACTGTAGTCATATGAGTGATGAAGCCTAAACATGATGAATCGAATACGGGAAACCATCATCACTTACCATGACACCAACATGAGATTTGAGTCATCCACGTAGTCACCTGGAATCACACCTTCTCCTCCAATGACCAGTGCCACTTCCGCTTGACTTCCTGAAATAGTCGATACACACACAGAAATCAATTAACAGTTTAAATCTGATGAAATGAACTCGTCTGATTATCGCATGTTAGTCTTCATGTCTGTTGTGTGTTCTACACTAAAAGAACGGAGTGGATATCCAAGGAGGAATTTGTGTCAGATTGAGAATCGTCATTCTGTTTCGGCCATCAGTTTTGATTAGAACTGATGAATGAGAGTATAGATGAGTGAGAGTACTGTCAGTCGATTGTAATGATGTCGCCTAATTTCGTTTACGGCTAATTAGTACACACAGCTCACATAGATTACTACTATCATTATGTGCGATTCTCAATGATGCATGGATATTCATTGTTCAGTAGACGTCAGTGAACTTGTCGGTTGTCTTACTGACATGTGCAACTGAGAAATGTCTATCTCTTTCGTGTCGTGTTGTGTTGCTGTGTTATCTAATTCGGAGCAGTAGTTTGACAGTATTCTACAAGATGCACCTCAAGTGAACAGTGAACATTCTAATCGACCTAGTTCTCACTCAGCTGAGCTGAGCTGAATGAAACTGGATGATGAATTATACGAAGTGGATGGAATGTGTAGATGTAACATCTACAATGAGGACTGGATACTTGACACGCTTATGCAACTAATGACAACGATTCGACAAAGATTTCCCTGTGTGCATTGGTTAGCATTGATATCATTGGAAACGTCAACTTTGAAAATACTCGGAGTTACCTTCGAAATCCAAGGGATCACACTCGTAGAACGCTCGCCAGTCGTCTCCGAGACTCACATCACTGAAATTCCAACACGACGATATGAGAACTTTGAATCCCGCTCTTGTGATCTCCTCAACACTCTTCTTCCATTCATCAGATTTGTATACTTGAACAATCATATCCTTGTCACTCTAAACACAGAAAATGCGAAGAATTCATCAGTCAGTCATTCAGTCAGTCAGCCAGTTACATGTTCAGTGTGTTGATGAGGTGAGATGAGATTGAGTCAGTCACTAATTATTAGATGAGTGGACATCACACTGCAGTACATAACTTGAGTGAAACATGCAGCAGTGATTGACATTCTGGTTGATGGGTCGATGGACGGTGTAAATTTGTGTTTGTGTGCATTTGGGTTTTCTTGTGGAACACTGAAGAACATTCACTGACATCATGTCATGCAGTGCACGAGTATGTATGCCTTCTCCTGCAATGTAATACTAAGTCATTATTGGTATTTTGCAGTCACCTTGGTTTGTAAGTTATGTCTATCATATGGTTAGCGAAATAGATGAGTAAGTTCAGTCTAATGAATACTTCTCATTTGGTGATTATCAATCAGCACTTGACTTTTCTCAAAACAACTCTCATGAACAAATCATCATACTGCATCAATCAGTGTGTATTAGACCTGATTATTTTATTCTCTTGTGTGATTGCACTCTATCAACCTGCATGCTTATTATGTGTTTTCATCAAGCAATTTTTCATTTGCTCGAGATTTGTTTAGCGAGACTTTCGGGAGACAACATCTCCCTGTTTGAGCGTATTGACAGTTGATCGAGATGTATGTGTCTATGTAATGCTGCCGCGACTAGTCACTCAACTGAGAATTCGAATACTCTGTGATGGAGTATCAGTGTAGATGACTAAGTGTGTAGGTGAGAATAGAGACACGACCACAGCTAACCGACTTATTCGCTGTTGTCATTATATTGCTCATATCGGTCAGAGTGAGAGAATTATTCCAGCTCATGACTCAACCGACTGAAGGAATGTATACAAGCTGAATGTTATATAATCCCCTATGAGTGTTGACTTACACGAAATCCATCCTGATATACATCCTGCCAAACAATCGGAACCACTGGAGATCCCGACGATGCGGCTCTGACAATTTCTACAAGTTGTGTCATGTAGTAGTTCATCAACTTTGTATAGTCATTGTTGAATCCTTGCTCCTGCATGAATTTTGTGATGTCAGGATTCGACTGCCTGTAAAACGAGAATGGAATGAGGAGGTAATTTGTTATTTAGAAGGGATAGACGAATATGCAGGTTTATGTGGAATGGAACGAGTGGAATCAAATCACACCAATTCACTTTACTTGTCTCATGTGCTCACCTCGCCTGACCGCTTACTTTGGCGCATATTCGATTCGTAGAAACATGCCTACCCTGCAGTGTATCTATACACCTATATACTATCACACTGAATTGCATATACAGTGCATCTTTCTCATATTCACCTGATCACACTGCACACACTGCATCCATACTACATGCACTTGTATGGTGAGATTGTCATTGAGCACATTGTGAGAATCATGGGAGAAATGCAATAATTAACCAATCAATCAATCAAACACTCAATCAATGAAGCGATGCAGGATGATAATAACAATAGTGAGAACTCACCAGCATGTGAAATCCACATCATTTCCGCCTAAATGAACGTGGTTGTCAGCAGAAAACACACGGCGAATTTCGTGGTACAAGTTCTGAATGAAGGTGAGATTGGTTGGATTGACAGGACCGAGTATTTGATTTCCTTCGTCGTCTTGAGCATGACAAGGAGTGAGTACATCGGAATAGCCATTTCCCCATGACTGTGTATGTGCTGTGGGATGAGAGAGAGACAGGGAGAGATGACTGTGTATGGAATGTGACTGAGTATTGGGATATTGGGATATACTGTGGTGTCATCTTGAGTGATGCGTTCTGTTTTGTACACTTATGAATAATGACGAATATGTGGTGTGCATAGTCAGTATATTGTTTGAGAGGCAGTGCTTGATCTCACTGATGATGGCTGTCTGGTGTATATCACCTGTGTAGTGAATGTCTGTGACTCTCCCTACATGCTAATGACACTGAATCTGTCTGGAATCGTGATGATTTTCCTCACATTTCCACACATATTCAAACCAGTGTTTTGCGTTGATTTCTCAGAGGAACCGATCAGTGGTGAGTAGATTCAGTATGAATAGTGATTATCTGGTTGATGGTTATATTTCGGTAATCCAGTTCAGTGACATTTCATGGAGTCGTCTGAATACAAATGAAAATTTGTCAAAATTGTTGGTACATATGAATCACCCTTCTGAATTTATTATGTGATGGACTTAAGGTTATTTTGTGTGCTCCAGTACAGCTTTTAATGATCAGTTACATCAGACATCCAGAAGGTAGACGTAATACTCTTTTCTCAGCTGGAGGTCATCCTCAGCCAGACAAAAACAGTTCAGCTTTGTTTGAGTACTGCTAATTCCTAAAGTCATTCATTCGATAATTCCAAATAAGCTACAAATGATTCCCAACAATGGAAATATTCAAAGACCTTCAGATACGGCGAATGGTTTTCCGAATTCTGACCATCCTTGTCTTCCGTTTGCATAGTTCGTTCATTGTTTCAATACTGGTCCTGAAAACTTCAAAGTGTGTAAATCACTGGGGTGGGCGAAATCACCCATCACAGTAATGTCTACTTATTCACGATTGACAAATATCAGGGTGTTCACTACTCTGTGCCAACACAGAGACAATTTCAAACTAGTTGAATATCTCAATACATACAACTGTGAGAATATCATGCTCACCTGGTGTATCGAACTCCGGAATTATCCGAATTCCACGAAGACGCCCATACTCCAGTAGATCAACTATCTCATTACGCTGATACACATAGGCCTCAGGATGATATGCACCCTTCAGTTGTTGTGGTGTGATTCAAGTTAGAAAGAGAATAATTCATCAATCTTACTCACCTTGTTTGACAGTTCAGGATACATGGAGGAGACGAATGGGAATGATTCAGCGTCTGTGATGTGCCAGTGTAGAACGTTCATTTTCACCATGGCCATTGCATCCTAAAATGTGCAAGTTGGTGTGTGAGTGTGTTAGTGTTTCACGTTCTCCCTGGACAAGGGAGGGAGGTGAATGATGACTTACAATGAACTTGTGAATTTCTCCAATGGTGAGGAAATGTTTCGATGTGTCTAGCATGAGTCCACGATGTGAGAATCGAGGTGAGTCATCCAACGTAAATTTTCTTATGATTTTCTATCAGTTTGAAATTATGCAAATGAGATTCTAAAATGATTTCGCCTCTTACTCCGCCAAATTCATCTCTGTATATATGCTGCAACACAGTTTCTAACCCGTGTAGTATACGCCACACTTCAGCAGATATCATAATTAAACTACTTCCCATATACTCAATCGAATCTTTAAATGTATGTGTTCATATCAAATAAACTTGAATACTTACAGGATTCATCTGTGGAATTCGATGGCCATAATACGCCTTCACTTTCATCACATCCTCCATTTATTCGAATGTTAAGTATTCTGAACTCACAGGAAACACTAGGTATTGATTTTGATTTTGGAAATTCTTCTTGACGAATTCTTTTTAAGAATTTTCTAATAGCCTCCTTCATTGTTATACATGCAGGATAGTATTCAAATATTTCAAAAGGTTCATTCACTGTACAGTAATCGTCTGCTAAACTGTAATTCTTTGGTATAGGTATCAAAGTCAGAGAAGGAGAAATTATCAAGGATATAAGAGTGAATAGGATATATCGAGTCATGAATACAAAAACTGTAATAGATATTGTGAAATGTTATTTCGTTCATTTTCTTACTGAAACTTTTTAAAGTCAAATTTGTGTCTGTATACCTAAGCAACGCTGATTGGTTGAAAACAATAACATCAAGGTAAGAGAGGTGACATCTGTTGAAGAGACGCTTGGTGTAAATGTGCTCAGTTGACTTGATGGTGACTTTATTGGAAGAAACACAACTAGAGAATCAATTTATTTATTCAGATAGTTAATAAACCATTATTATTCACGCCTCAATTTAAATTCTGAATAAATGAATAGTGACGTATGTTTGTTTATTCAAGATCTCCGAAAATACCCATTGAGTCATGAAGAAAATAAAAGACAGATTCAGCGAAAGAAATTGTCTTTATCGATGAAATCATCTTCAGAGGCTGTATAGTCGTATTTATACTTACAAAAATATATAGTGGTCTATTATTGAGTAATGTGGGGTGACATAATTGATATAATTACTCAGAAGTGGCTTTAGAAGTGAAAATTAAAAGTTGTAAATTACGTGGTACTCAACGCCACAAATATAGAAATTTGATAAGGTTAAAATTGCTATTAACTGAGAATAAAGGTATTTGAGTGTCAATTTAACAAGTGTGAAGAGGGTGTGAAAATATACAAAAGGAACATATGAGAGTGATAATAGTGAATTAATTATTAAAGCAAAAGCTAACTAAAAGTGAAATTAGAATGAAAAGAAAAATCAAAATATATTTTATTTACAAGGAACGATTAGTGAAGAGGTTAAGACCAAGGTAGAATAAGAGACTGGACAAACTTTTTCTGTATACAGAGTTCAGGGTTGTATTGATGAATTGCCAGAGCCTCCGCCATACACAAAAGCCGAAACCTGACACCCTTTGTACCATTTGGCCTCACCTTGTAGATGATCTTGAAAGACGATTCTGGTGGAGCTACGTGGCCTGAGTTCACCAAATGCTCGAGAATTGAGCTAGTAATTGTCTTACATTGTCCCTTTGCTAACCATGCCGGATAATGTTCAGAGATGCGTTTGGAAAGCGTGCGCTTTGTGCGGCCAATATAACTAGCTCCACACGAGCAAGTGAATTTATAAACACACATTGAAGTGGCCCAAAGCTGCAGTTTATCCTTCACACATCCGTTGATCATTTGTCGGCTGTGGAAATTGATACGTAGCTCAGCCATAAAGAAGGCTTTCCCCAGTGATCTGCATAAGCGATTCTTCAGGATCTCAGCTGCGGTATCACCTTTCAATTCAACACCCATAAACAGTAGTTTCTTCGGCACCGTCTGTATTCTTTCAGGTT